ATTTGTTTAGTATACGAATCTTCGATCAAGACCCTATTTAAAATTTATTATTAATTTCATCTGTGTTTATTTTGTAAAAATTGATAAGCTACTTTTTTTTGGGTGATTTGAGAAAATAAAATGCTCAGGTCTTGCCTGCATACATTTGCCTAATGAGTGGCAGATAGCCCATGACCGGGGCTTGACTCAATTACGGAATTACGGGCCAATGGGGGAATATGGGAATATGTTATGCAGGAAAGCTGGAAAGCTGCTGCTTGGGGAATGCAAACGACCTGATTAGATGTGATTAGACTGTGAGTTAGTTCCGCAATTAGATTGCCCCATCTGAAAGGCTCCAATAAGCCGAGCTTATGAGTTCAATCGCTATTTTTATAATTGAACTCTAGTATACGTTTCAGACGCTTACAGATTTGTAAACATATCAATGTGCACTTTCGGATCGACTAATTGAAAGGAGATAGTCTTTGGAAAAGTACCATCCGACCGAACTGCAATTTTCACATACTATTTCCTAATTAAAAAGTATATCAGGTGATATGTATATTATACTTTACTTAGTAATAACAATCTCAAGTCTTCCTATTGATCAGCAAATTCAATCAATAAGGAAAACAGTTAAATATATATTTTTGTTTATTTAGTATTTATAGAGATTAGGTCTTGTTATTGAAAAGCCGCCCACCTAATCATAATAATTCACCTGTAATCTGCACTTTATGTCAAAGAAAATCCCCAAGCTTTCACAACAGCAGCTACCCAGGTTGGCGCTCACATCTCGCATCTCGCATTTTGACATTTGCGCAGTCTAATTAAATCAGCAAAAAATCAAATGAAAAGGGGGAAAGAAAAACGTATACGTTGTAACTCATTTATTTGTAGTTTTATTATTATTATTTTCATTTTTTTTTCGATTATCAGTTGGTTTAATGATTTTTTGAAATTCAGATTTGTGGCAAGGCATACGCGAGATTAGTTAACATTTGTTTTGAGCGTGTTCCCATAGCCAAAGGCTTGTGCTCTGAACCTCAGAACCCACGCGAGATAATTTAACGCACATGCAATGTGAGTGACAGTTGCAGTTCATCTCATCAATTCGCTGCTCTAGGTACGTTCATAGTATGTGGGTATTAATAGACAAGGTTTATGGGTTGTTGTGTCGTGTCGACGACCAAAGCACCTTCAATCCGTTTTGGACTCTGTCTATCATCATTTGAAGGCATCCTTATCGCAAACGCCACTGTGCACTTAAGCGAAATATAAATAATTGCATTTATTTTTAGATCGAATATTTTAAGACAACAATTAATCAGAAATCAAATGGGCGTGTTTGAGCCTGATGAGGAAGATTCTATTTAAAGATTACAACGGATTAACGGATTGAGTCAAGTAGAGTCAACTAATAAACACATATGTATGATTGTATCTTTTGTATATGAATACTTCAGCAGGATTAATCGAAATGAAATCATAGAAATAATTCTAACAGAGAGATAGGGTGAGATTAGATCATTTCATTTCGTATATAAAATGTTCTTCGAAATGCATTTTGATTGCAAGCAATTTAAAGATTTGAAATAAGGCGCCAAAATGTATATCGATATATCGTATAGAACCAAGGCTGTAAGCTGTGTGGCCGGCACATGAGCTGCAACTCTGTAAATCGATACATTTGAGGCGGTCGTCGATAGCTGTGCATTGTTTCTCATAAGAGTAAACAAAAATCCTAAGCAATAAATAAAACAATTGCAGAAGGATGGTGAGTAACCTCTCTCAGCGATAGTTTTATTGTTATTGTTGTTAAATATTTAGAACTAGTGCAGTAATTAATTGATAGAGTGACATTTCATACATATCTGGAACGAAGTTGTAGATGGGCGAACAAGAGCTGATTACAAGAAATCTTTATGATTAATATAAATTGTGTTCCATGCCTGCGCCGGCAACGGCATCAGCCAATGACAGCGTCGATGCTTGGTCTGGTGAGCGCTTGCCGCCCCAGGAGTGGAAGCGCTGCTTCTTGCCGAGAACCACCGAATTGCGTTTGTCATCCCTCTGGACCTTGAGGCGACAGCGCTCGATGACCGCATCCCTAATGATGGAAGCAAACTCCAGGTCATTGAACTGTGCCATTAGCAGCTTGAAGAAGGCCCAAATCTCGCCACGCTGCGATGTTGGTGGTGGCGCGTATTGATCGAATAGCCAGGTGTCGGAGGTACCGGGGCCATCATCTGGAGCCAGGCGTCGCGAGTTGTAGGCATCGCACACATCCTCGAAGCTGAGTATGGCCTGCAGTATGAAGCGACGATACTTTCCCAGCTGCAGCTCGCAGGTGCTAAGCTCCAGATCCGTGGCCGTGTGTGTGGGCAGAGCATAGAGCGRGCTACAAGTGCCGAGGAGCAGCAGCAGCAGGCGCCAGGTGGACAACATGCTTGGAAACAATGTGCTCGATGGCTAATCCGTCTGCAAGCGAAGCGCGTGTGTGTTCGCAGATTGGCAAGATGAGCAACTGTGCGCTGGATGGCCACTTTCACTGGCTTTATATAGCAGTCAGGCAGCCCATCAGCAGCAGCGATGTAGTCCTGCCCCACTCCTCACAGGCGGGCGACTGCGAACTTTGAAGTTCATAAAATAATTATAAAACGTTTCTCGTTTACATTTCTAAACCGTTACACACGGCTAAAGAGCGAGTCCTAATAAGCAGATGGCTCGGAGCGGGGGAAGGCGCGCGCACTTCGTTCAGCAACAAGTGTCATAAATTTACGGCGGGCTCTTAAGCTGCTAACGGCTGCTCATTTGTTTTTTACTTTTAATGTAACTCTCCCACGCTGCAAATTTATTAATTCCGGCCATAGATAAACGTGACATCCACTTGAAGCCGAGGCGCCACTCGCAGTGGCCTTTATATGCACAAGCTGCTCATTAGCTTGCGGGCAGCCAGTAGCGGACGCCAGCTACCCCTGTCCCCCGCCCATCTGTTCGTCCCTGCTGCAAATTGTGCACCCTTTTGTCGGCAGCCTTGTCAGGCAGTTGTACAAATTGCTCGCTGATTAGCAGGCAAGCGTATGAAATTAATCATATGCAAATACGAGTGTGCGCTCCACTTTACGCATTTCATTCAACACTCGACTCGCAGTCTCAATGCTTCCTTCTTGCTTATTGTGGCCGCCTGGTCTTTAATTTACTTGAGACATGACGAATGTTGCGTAGGCGTGAAGTAAGGGCAAACAAGTAGCTAGTTGTGAGGGCTGTGCTTAGTCCTTTTCTTTTTTAAGGCCCTCAAACATATCTACATATATGATATGTAATAATTTACCCTTGCCTGCAGAAATTTCGCTTTTGTGGCGATGGCGATTGTCCTGATTGGGTTCTGGCCGAAATCATATCGACGCTTTCGAATCTGACCGTCGACAATGTGGAGCAACTGGCGCAGCTGGTGGCCAAGCGCATCTGCGGTGAGCCCTTCGAAGTAAGTAGCTTAGAAATATCTATATAAATCACATTTAATTCTTCATTTTCTTATAGGAAGCGGCAATCCGATCTCTAACGTCGTCTGCCTCAAATGATGGCAAAACTGCTGTGGCCTGTGTGCACTACATGCTCACCAATGCGGCGCGCTACAGTTGCACAGAGGCCATCTTCAATGAGGAAATACAGCAGCTGGGTCTGCCCAAGGATCATGCAAAGGCCATGTCTCGCGTGCTGCAATCAAATGCGATGGCTATACGGCAACAACTTATAGATAAGGCATTTAGAAGTAGGTATTTGCATACATGAGTATTGCGTGTAAAATCTTTGATAAGATAGGTCATCTATCCCAAATGTAATCTGCATATGATTTTTTAAAATCTGTGATAAATCATATATGGTTTTATTATGGTTATATTTGATTACCATTATTTCATCAGATCACAGTACATCATATATGATTGAGCACTAATATATCATATAGACGAACTTTAGTATGGATAGCAGATGATTTGCATTATGACATAATTATGCCATGTTGYTTTTATRTATCATCCAACTTTAAATTTTTATATTTATATGTTTTTCATCTGGTATATGGTATTAATCTCTATGTATTTCCCTTCGCTTTCAGTTAACGAGCTGCAAAGCATACGAAATGTTACTTCACCTGGCGAAACACCTCCAAACTGTGCCACCTTGGAACTGAAAATCTCGCAGGAGCTGGTCGACGGATTGCCTAAGGATACCACGCACATTGTCAATATAGAGTGCGCACAATTGGGTGCACTGCTCGACGAAATGAAATTGGCTCGTGATATTATGCTTAAATACGAGAGTAAAGAAAGCGGATAGAAATAAGTAGCATGAGTAAAGTAAACTGGGAATTACTTTAAAGTGTGTCGCAGTTGTCTATTGCAACAGTCTGCACAATTTCGCATTAACCTCGCTGGTAATTATTTGTTGTGCAAATCATATCTAGCATTAGGACAAAATTATTGTTTAAGCAAATGCGTAAATAATAAATAACTTAAGTATCGTACTTTTTTTCAGCTTTTATTGACAAGTGAGTTAATTATTTAAACTAAGTTGTTTTTACGTGTATATTTCCGTTTTATATATAACCTTATATAAACTTTGAAATTTTGAAAATTTTTCATATAAAACATCGAATTTCTATTTTGTTTCTCAACCAATATAAGTTTCGAAATTAAAATGGTTGCTATATATGCTATATGTGGTTTGTGTCTTGGGTAGCGTTGCCAACCATTTTGTTGTTATGTTAACATGGTGAAAACATGTTAAAAGTTCATCGATTCTGAAATGGAATAGGGAAAATTGTGTATAAAAATTAAACATTTATTTATATAAGTACATATATAAATATTTAAATAATATCAAAATATTATTAGTTAATTTTTAAACTAGAAAGTTTAAGGCAAATTTTTAAACTGAACTTCAAGATTTCAAAAATTCAAAATTTTCCTATATTTAGCAGAAGTGACCTACTGAACATTTGATTATTTTTTCAATATTTGTATTTACTTTGTGGATAAATTTTTTTTTTTGTTAATTTAATTTTATGTTAAATTGTTCTTTATAATTGCCTTATGTGTTAGATATATAAACTAATGTATTCTCACAGAATTTATATACATTACATACACATATGTATAATTAAATTAGGATTCTGTGTTCATTTTTAGATTTGCAATTTACTAATTTGGCTAAACACGCGTCGCTGCCTTATCGCCTACTCCCTTATAAATTATACTCGTAAATGTCACCAAAAATCAACCACAATTTGAGCCCTTTTGGCCCTTTTGTCTGACCAGGCTGCCACGCCTCCCCTTTATCGTAAACTGTGTCAAATTTAATCAACTGGCGCGGAGCAACCTGCGCCGTAGAATTCTCAAACTGCCTTCGCCCAATTATTAATTATAATAACGTAACGTGCGGCGTGAATAAAGTGAAATTTGCTAATAAAACGAAAGATGGGCAAAAAGTGAACCCTTTTACCCCAAAAAATTTAACCTTTATTTTTCTTCTTCTTCTACATCTACTTCTACTCGCACGCTGCTCCATTTTGCCACTGACTCGGCCTTATCATCCGGTTTTCCACGGCAATTACCGGCGCATCCGCCGGACAGGGCGGGTTATTAAAATTATCTGCAGTAGCTAAAAAGAGAAGTAAAATGTGAGTAAAACTGAAAGAAATTTCAATTAAAACAACGCCAAAAGGAATAAATTAATATTGCTTTTTTATTTTTTATTTCACTCTCATTTTTTTTTACTGCTTCCAATTCTAATTATGAGCAGCTGCGCAAGCATCAAATGTCGCACTCAGCATTTGAATTGTTGATTTTTTCCAGCTTCCTCTTCTCTAATTATATTATATATATGTGCGTGTATATATATTTATTTTTTTCAATTAAACTTGACCATGTCAAAGAGCGAAAAAAGTCGCGAAGTTCTTGACATTTGAATTCCCTAAGATCGCTGCATTGCAGGGTATATTGATTTCATTCAAAAAGTATGTTTGCTCATATGTATGTACGTTCGTACGTATGTATATTATGTACGAATGTAAGAAGAATAAAATTTAAAATACATACAAATCTATTGCCCAATTGACTTACGAGCTCTTCTAAGATCGCTTCAAATCAGCGATATATCTTCAGTCTTATCTTAAATTTTATTTATATTAAAGCTAAGCTTTTCAAGTTATGCAAATATTGTATCTATAAATTTTAAGCAAGGACTTACAATTCTTCTATGAGTGGTCTATAGAATATCTTCTAGTCGGATACTTCAATCATTCATACTTGTCGCCATTTCACTTTGATTGCGGCGCAGTGCTTATTTCTTTAGCTCAAATTTTTCTCTTGACTGCCACATGTTGCCGACACTTGCAGCAGTTGCTTGCTGCCCACTCCTCCTCCATCTCTCTCTATCACTCTCTCTCTCTCTCTCACACACTTTGATTTATGATATGCCTGGACAACTTGCAGCACTGTCACCTGGACGCCTTAATTAAATTTCAGCTGGAGCACTTCCAATGAACTATCATCGTGCTAGGCGAGTGTTTACCATAGGTAAATAAGTGCACCAATTACTGGGGCAACTATTTGCCAAAGTTGTCGATATTTGCGAAAAGTGATATCTAAACATTGGCTGGGCTGTCTTTAAATGGGCGGCATATAAATGTAAATAGCCCAGCAATATAAACAAATTGGGCACGTAACACTAGTTCGGGTGTTACAAGTGGGCTTACGTAACCGGAATTTGTCTGATGACTGTGAGATACAGTGGGCGGAGCAAAGAGTTTTTCTAATTAATATTAAATCATTTAGAAATATGACATTTCTCCACCAATAAATATGATTATATTTAAATAAAAATAAATTAAACAAGTACAATTTTTAAAAAATTTTTTATTAAATTTTTCTTCTGATATGTTTAAAAAAAATTAAGCAGATGTTTAAATATATACATGGAAATTAATTTATCAAAATTATTTGCTTTTTTTTTTGCAATAATTTATATATTCTAAATTATTAAAAACTTCATATGTAAAAAATCTATTATTTTCCTGAAAATATAAAATGTTTTTAATTTTTTTTTCTTTAATGTGTATCACCAAGAAAATTTTAATTTGCAAATCAATTCTATGAGTTTCTATATATATATGAGTTTCTATATATAAAGAAATAGAAAGATTATATTCACATTGAATTCGAAGTAAAAGTATCATACTTTACTATCATTAAATTAATGATCTCTTACAAACATGTTTTTTAGTTTCAAGTGTAAGCTGTCTTCTTCTTTGAGCACCCTCGTGGAGCATTCAAAGCGAGTGAGCTACATACGTCATAGCCCCATCCCTTGAGAAATTTTAATCAGGCGCTGGCAACGCCTAAACATGTGTACCCTTCATCTATCTGTCTCTCACACCCTCTTTCTGTCTCTCTCTCTGTCTATCTCTCTCTCTCTGTCTCTCTCGCTCGCTGCTGTAACTGGAAATGCTGTCACATTACGCGGCTGTTACCATATCTTTACAACTGTATCTACAGATCGTCCTCCACGCACTTATATGACAAAGCACAAAACTTAAAAACCTTATGCATGTGATTTGAGGTTGACTCGCCGAGGGGTTGACACCCAGCACAAGTGTCAGCCTACTTATACCCTGTAAATTGGCAGAGTGAGTGGAGAGACTGAAGGTCTTATGAATAATAAATATATTTAAATATGTATTAATTAATATATCTATTAAAGAATCTATAAAATACGAAATTCAGGGAACTCTCTATATCATTTATATAACAAAACTTAGAATTAAGGCAGATTATAATAACATAGTTGCACATGAAGTAGAATTCCATAGTTGGTAGTTGTAAGAGTAAAATCCATTTATAGGGTATCATTTAGTTGGGCAGCCGAAGCAGATAGTTGTTACTTGTGTTAGCCTGCTGTTTTGGTAAGGGTTTATTTATATTTTTCTGCTCTTTTGGGCTGAGCGAGCCGCTTGACGGGGTGTTCGGTGGTGGGCTTCCTGGTTGTTTTGTTGCTAGTACTTCCGTTACGGTTTTTACTTTAGCCACGACGCCACCCCCGGTGGGTGGGCCACTTTAGTCACCCCTAAGGCCTTTGTTTGGTGCGCCCGACACATTTCTGACTTTTTCAATTTGACTTTTGTGCAGGGCCACTGCCAATGCAGTGAGTGCTGCGGATGTTTTCCCCCTCATGCGTAATAATGAAATAAACGTTTCGCTAAATGCCTGCGTATTTGGCATGAGGCAACGAAGCCTGTGCCAGGAGCTGGGGCCGGGGCTGCGAATCGTTTAATTTGATGAGCTTTTCTGGATTTGTGGGGGCAAGAGAAATCTGAGAGATAAATGCATATTGCTGTAGTCTAGCGATGATTCTTCTTTTATTTTCAATGCCAACTAAATCTATGTATTTTAGAATAAAAAATTTAAAATTTAAAATTTAATTATAAT